CACATCCAGCCATAGAAGAAGTTCTTGAATATAAAGTCATCTGGCTAAACTGCCTGGAAATGAGCGGGGTCACAGTCACGGAGATGAAGCTAAATGACATCGCGTTTCTCCCATGGCTCCCAGGACATGAGATTCTCACTACCAGTGGGACCGGCTTATGAGTCTCTGTCCACTAGATGTTTCTCTGGCTTCTGCAGAGTGTTCCCAAATCATTTCATTCACTCACCAAATATTTATTCAGTGCCTACTGTGTGCCAGGCACTCACTGTTCCAGGTGCAGGGGCACCGAGGCCGAGCGAAGAACATTAAAGTCTCTCTGAGATGCAGCTCCTAGTAGACATGGCCAACTTCCCATTGTAAACTGTGCTTCTTCAATGTGTGATTTTTAAAAAGAGGCTCAAAAATGGTCTTACACATTTAAGAGGATGATATGACAAGGAATAGGGTTAGAAAGGGGAGGTCATAAAATTCAGTTAGACAAGGTGAAAAGCAAGACCACATTGGAGCACAAGAAGCAACACACATGCAGAGACCGAGCAGAGGCCTGGAGCCACACCAGCCCCGCTCAGGGCTTCATGTCCACTAGCTCCCTCATCTTCCCGGCACCCGGAGAGCTGGAACCCTCCTACTACCTGCATTCTACAGAAGCGGAGACTGAGCTCGGAGTAACTGCCTTGTCTCACACCGTCCCACACATGGCAGCCAAGAAGAGAGCTGACCAAGGAAGTGAAGACAAAGCAGCCTGGGCCCACTGACCTGGTGGGAAGCGGGAGAGAGACAAACTGTGGCGAGCTGGAAACGCTCGGGATCTTACTTCAGGGGCCGTTTTAAGTGGACTGCACGCATGGTCCTTCTGTCCCCAGAGTCGAGGATGCCACAAGCCTCTGACTCTAACACCAAGACCCGGAACCCACCACATGATAGATCCAGCTGTTCCCTGAAGCAGCTATTGAGTTTTTAGCGATATCTAAAATACAAGCTCTTCTGAAGTTGGGAAAGTTAAGGCAGAGCCTTCGCATTTTTCTCTCATCTAGGAAGCCAGATCTCTGTGGGGAGGGGAGAAAGCGCCGGTGGGTGGCCAAGCTCGGAGTCTGTCCTGTGTGTTCATCGTCCCCAGGGTGGCTGGCCTGGGGCGGTCTCTCTCCACGCTGGCACTCGTCCGCTGCCTCCTCCTCTGACTGTGCTTGCAGGAGCTGTGTCCAGTGCAGAATCAGCAGGGCCCTTCTGACATGCTCCGGGAAGGCTGCTCAGCCCTGCCCGAGCCCACTGTGCTGGGATGCCGGATTCCCTCCAGCCTGCGTACTTCCTGGGATTCGCCAGAAAGCAGACCTGGGCAGGCAGGGCCAGCCCTGGCACCTCTAGGGGGTGGGGCAGCGGCTAGGTTTTGGGTTCTGGGCGCTGAGAACAATGGGAAGCGATTCGATCGCAGGCCCAAGCCACGGCCTCCACACGCCAGCAGGGCTCTGGGGCTGAGGGACAGACACAGGCCCACTCGGAGAGCAGCCTGTGTACAACTGCATGGGCCCAGTGACCTTCCCGCCCACGCCAGCCGTGGGCTCTGGCGGTGTCTGTTCCCGGTCCGAGCAGGGACCACGGCCCTCTCATCCACGCGAAAGAGATCACTTGCCAAAAAGCATGTGTTTTGCTAGGGAAAGATGAGCAGCTTTAGTCTCGCGGGAAGTGCCATGCACTCCACCGTCGCCCGGTGCCTCTCGGCCTCAGCTCGGGTCTCCTCCGCCTCTGGCCTGCACCATCCAGCCCTCCACACCTCCCTGGTCCTGCCAGAGTATTCCCAAATTCCAGGTATTCCCAAATCTCCTGCTTCTTCTCCCTTTCGTAAGTAGAACAAATGAACTCTGCTCCTGAGTCACTCTGCTATGGCTCAAAGCTAACCTGGCAAGCAGGACCCTGAGCAGTGACCAGACAGGCAGTGGGGCTGCGTTCACAGGTCGGTCTCTGCTGTCCTCACCTCCTGCCTGCCTCCCACCCTCACCTGCCTGCTATGAGGCCTGCAGCTTCTGGCCTAGTCCTCCCACGCAGGCCAGGCTGTCCTCCCTCAGGGACGCCTCCCCATGTCCTGCAGGAGCCACCAAGCGAGACTCCATCGTCCTCTTCTGCCTCAGCTCCTGTGCATCCCCATCTGTGTGGTTGCCTCTCTGCCTATGCAGCTGGCGAGGAGGGCCAGCCATGCTTCCAGGAAACTCAGCCAAGAACCTCCCTGCAGACAGAGTTGCCCGGGCCAGGTCCCTGATGACAGTCCTGATCCTTGTCAGGAACATGGAGACCTCGGTGTCCCAAGCCCCCCTGGGTTCAGGACCCGGAGCAGCAGCGGGAGGAGGAGCAGGGGGAGGGGGAGGAGGGAGGGGGCTTTCAAGCCTTTGCAGGCATGGGGTGGTGCCTACCTGCATCTCAGTGCCGGTGGGGTTTGGGAAGTAAACCCTGCTTTGCTGTATCCTGGTCCATCGTGCTGGAGAGCAGGGGTGTCGCTGATGTCTGGACAGGCTGTGCGGTATGGGACTGACCACTGGGAGAGGACTGAGCTGAGCGTGAGCACACTGTCTGGCGGGGAGCGGGTGGGACAGCTACACCGGGCATTGCGGCTTCATTTCAGCTCTCTTCTGGAAGAGCGTAGCATGAACTGGAGGCCAAGCTTCGTTACAGGGCTCTAGGTGCCCTGCAGTCCCTGTCTCTGCATTCTAAGAGCTGTTTGCTCTCCTGAGCGCAAGAGCTCCTTCAAGCTCTATCCTCAGTGGGATGAGACCGTGGATCCATCAGGGGTCAGATTCCTGCTCTGCCACAGCAAAGGCCACGGGGCTTACACATTTCATCCCCCCATGCCCTGGGTTTTTCCTCTGCAAAATGGCAAAAACAATACATATCCATAAGGGTTCTGAAAACAGTAAATGAAAAAATTTGTGAAGGATTAAAAAACATTATGTGTCATTGTTGTACTATGTTCGCGTACCTGGCTTCTTCAGGATAAGTTTTCTTCACCCCCAGCCTCTCCTCTGCAGACCCCAGGCAACAGCACCAACGAAACCAGCGTTGGCGGCCTGCAATCATCGGCCCTTTCCCTCATCCATTCTCCTGCCCTGTCAGACAAAGCGCTGGGGAATCCATGCCTAAAGAGGGAGATCATGCAAGAGCTCACAGCGGAGGGGGCGACCGCAGACAGAAACAGAAAGAAACCCGAGAGTGGGCTCGGCTCGGAGAGGCTGGGGGAGGGCCTGGAAAGCTGCAGGGAGAGCCGCTCCGAGGCATTTACAGGGCTGTGTGAGCATGGGAGTCCAGAACCTCATAGCCTCATTCCCCAGCCCAGAGCCCGGCCGTCCAGAGGATGCAGTCTCTGGAACTCAGGAGGGTGGAATCACTTAGAGCCTTTCAGAGGAGTGAAGAACAAGCAGCCTGCGATGGTCCTCCCATCCTGCCCACACCCTGCGCTGCTGCACAGCATCCCGAGTAGCAACACAGCCTCCTGTGACGCAGGCTGGCCCCTCCCCAGCCCCGGCCTCCTGCCCTTCCTCTGCTCCTCAGCATGGCCGCCAAGTATCTCCGTGTTTCCCGATTGCTCAAAATCAGCCTTCAGACTTTTTTCCAGGTTGACACTAGTACTTCCAGTGTCATGGTTTCTGCTTTTCTGGCAAAGAAATAAGTCAGTTTCTCTTTTGCTCTCTGTCTGAGTGGGGTGAAGGGTGTGGGGAATGAACCCAGGGCCTTCGCATGGAGCTACATTCCCAGTCCTTTTTAGGAAAAATTTGAGACAGGGTGTCCCTGAGTGGCAAAGTTGTCCAGGCGGGCCTTGAACTTGGGACCCTCCTGCCTCAGCCTTCCTCTGGGATTACAGGCCTGTGCCACCATGCCCAGAGTCCACCTTGATTTTTATCTTGTATTTCAGGCTTTCCTTTCTTGGGTATTTATGTTGCCCTCAGGAAATTCCCATATCTCCTTTTCTTTCCTTTGGAAGGGAAAAGTTCTCAGGGCCAAGCAGTGACAGGTTTGCACTGGGAGTTAGGAGCAGTAGGTTCTGTGCCTCAGTTTCCCTATAGATAGCAGGGAAGGCACCTCTCCGCATCCTGGGCTGCTGGAACGAAGAGAACAGACGGTGCGAGCAGCCTACAGACAGGACGCTTGCAGTCACTGTGCTGCACAGGCAAGAGTCTCGCTCTTAGGACAGGCTGCAGGGCTGTCCCCACTGCGCCTCTGTGCATGCGGGAAGCAGCTGCTCACTGGGAAGGGCTGGCGGCCTCCCTTCCTGGAGCTGTCCCGCCTCACCTCAGGCTTCTCCCTGCAGGCCCAGGCCTCACTGCTGCCCCTGAGCTTCTGCACCCGGCTGGGTGGAGGCAATGAAACCCCACTCCCACCCGCACTCAGGCGGGGCCGAGATGAGCACGCTCCGTATGTCCCGGCCCGGTGCCCACGGGAAGCCCGCAGAGCCTGTCCTCCTCCTGAGGGCCCGCGGGTGTGGACAGCTCCTGCAGGAGCCTGGGCAGTGACCGGCCGCCCGCCCCTCGCTGCAGGGACAGGGGCTCCGCCAGGACTGTGTGGGCAGGGGGCCAGGTGCAGCCCCTGGGCTCGGCCGGTGGCCGGAGGCCAGTCAGGGTAGGGGCTCTGGTTCTCCGGCCTCCCTGGGCCCTAAGGCTCCGCGAACACACGGACAGAAAGCGTCCTCTGTCCGGAGAGAGCGTCCGTCCGTCTACTTCCCCAGAGTCCGAAGGAATGGTTTTTAACGAAGTGCAATGCTTTCGCGGCTTTCTCATTTCCCAGCAAACAGTCTCGCGGGAGTCCAGCCACCCTTCTTCCTGCTCCGGGACACAGGAACTTTAGGGGGGCAGCGGGTTAGGGGGTCGGTAGCCCCTTAAGGTGGACCGCCCGGGTTCTCAGCGCGTTAAGGTGGACCGCCCCGTGCACTGAGTGTGTTAAGGTGGACCGCCCTGGTTATTGGTTCCCCGAGGCTGCGGAGGGCGGGGCCTGCAGGACCGAGGTCACGAGCACCAGCCCGGGTGTAAGACGATCTGCCGGGCCGGGCCAGCCGCCGCGCGGGCACACGCTCGCATTCCTGTCAAGTCGGCCTCCGACCAGGCGTGCCTGTGCAACCTTAATAAAAGCCTCTGAGCGCGGCAGGCCGGCCGGCCGGCCCTTGCGCTGTCAGTGCCCGCGGCCGGCGGCGCATGGCCCGCGCGCAGTAGCCGCTGGGGCCATGGGGGCGCCCCCCGGCCTGGCGCTGCTGGCCCTGGCGCTCGCGCTCGCCCCGACGCCCGGCGCCCGCAGGCTCAGCCGCGTGCAACACGGGCCCTGCGTCTACACCTTCGTGCTGCCCGAGCTGGACGCGGGCTGCGCGGGCGACGCGCTCAGCAACAACGCGCTGCAGCGGGACGCGCCCCACGCCGAGCCCGAGCCCCCCGCGCGCCGGCTGCAGCACCTGGAGCACGCGATGGAGAACTACACGCAGTGGCTGCAGAAGGTGAGTCCGAGTCCGCCGGCCGGGTGCGGCTGCCGCTGCCTGCCCACCTTCCGCCCCAGGTGCGGGGCACACGCAGCCCAAGCTTCCTGCAAGCCCCCGGGTGGGTGTGGGGTGTGTGCAGGCTCCCCCGGGTGGGGTGTGCGCCCAAGCTGGCATGACTTGGGACGCTACAGTTAGTCTTGGTTTCTCTGCCTGTCAACCCAACTTCAGCAGAGAAAGCTGGAGTCTGTCAGAGGAGCAAGTGGGCGGGGGAGTCCTCTTCACAGGGACGTAGTAACAGACCCTACAGTATTGCAGGAACAGGTCGATTTTGTCCAGGAAACTTTGTGCGGCTAGCACTGGAAATCATCACAAAATGTTTAATTTGTTTCAATTTTAAGTGAAATTAACATGAAGGGAGAGTAAAAATATAAACCACCCGTGTGAGATCCGGTTGCAGAAATTGTGCTCGCAAGTGAGGAAACTTCATTCTAGCAGCAGACTTGTTTCTGTGACATACAGAATGTTCCAGACCAAGAAGGGGCGTTCTCGTGTGAGCTCCTGGGGACGCGGCTGTTCGTGTGAGTTCACGCAGATGTGCACCTGCAGACCAGGCTGAGCAGGGCAGGTGGGCGCCGCCTGAGCCTCTGTCGCTCCTCTGTTCCCAGGCGCTGGCTACCGAGACAGGGTGGGCTCCGGGTAAGAATAAGGACTTGACCCTCTCAGGTTGCATATGGGCTTGACCCGAAGCATAGGAATCAAATGCAGCAGCTTCTTCCGTTGTTGTTTCTCTATAAATCCCCGAAAAGCTTTTGTTGAAATTATGCCCGTTACAAGAGCCCATCCTGCGTCCTCTGCTCTTGTGTGGTTGTGTCAGGTAAGGAATTGCGTTGATTGTGTCAGCAGGAGAGCCCTGCCTTTGCACAGATTCACTCCGTGCACATGGGGGAATGACAGTCCAGCTCCTCCAAAGCAGTCTGTTGGGAGAGCAGAGCTGTGAGAGGATGCGGACAGGGAAAGGACTGAGGCTCTTTCATTCCTGCCTGGTCACAGTGACTTCCATCCAAGCCTGCTGAATCACGCCAAGTAACAGCCATTCTACTTTTGTCCACTAGGGACTGAACTAAGATCGCCGTTGTTATTTTATGTGAGGGATTAACTACAACTGGGTAGTTGTAGGGTTCCCAACTTGGAAGTGCAGTTAGTCTTTCTGTTGCCCACTACAGGTGAAATAATAGGTAGGCAGAGAAGGGAATGCAAACAGAATCTTGCAGACTTTTGAGAATTGTAGCCTAATAGGCATTCCTCAGAGCAGCAGGTTATAAGAGGCCCATTTTTGTCTTTGGTTAGTTTATTTTCATAGTGAACAAGTGAATTTGGTGGAATAGCTTGTTATTCTCAATGTACCAATCATGTAGTTTTAAAGGAGAATTCAATCATGGTAAATTCGTTTGGCTTTTTTTTAGGGAATAGGAGGGAAAGCTAGTCACAAATTGTCCCCAAAATGTAGTATTTCATTTGCTTAAAACATGCAAAATGGTGATTCACACATAGTAATGCGTATTTTCTGTTGCTATGCACTTATTCAGCGGTGACAGGGTAAAGACATAATTCTGCTGGGTTTAAATCATGCACACATTTCATATGTTAATTTACTTCGTGAAGTGAAGTTGATCCTTGTTTGCATTGTTCTTGGTCAGTGATTATGGCATAGCTTTCGAATCATAGCCAAGCATACTTCTGAAATGTTCTTTGGTTATGGGGAGGTTTGGAAGAGTGAGGTCAGTTGCACATCTGCGGAAATCTCTCCCTCCTGGGTGTGACTCAGAGCAATTTGGCTTGCTATTGTCCCTGCGAATTTGCATATCTTTTGTCTGTCCTTGTTAATATGATTGGTCAGAAGATCAAGTGACCAAATAAATGCATTCAGCAAAGACCTGCTAAAGACTGCTCAAGTTTCCCTTAATTAGAAATTTTATTCACTCCAACGTCTACATTTTATGTCATATATTTATTTTGATCTTTCACATGGGCACTTTTTGACTGTAACCAACTGTTGTACTTGATACTGCAACCTGAATCACCTGTTTTGATTCCACTCCACGTTGCTGCCTTGGGGTAAGAAGCAAGCGTCTCCGAAACTGAGCGATCATTGCATGAGTGAAAATTCACCCATTTATTCAGTTAAATAATTAATCAAATCAAAGCACTGTGATTATCATGCAGCTCATGTCATCACTCTCAGGAGTTTCTGATGCGGAATAAATGTGCATGTCAGTGCTACGTGAAGCTCGATGGTAATCTATGCTAATCTAGCTCTGTTTTAATTTTTATTTTTATTAGTACGTGTTTGAGGCACATAATGACCACATTCACTGTGGGGAGTTGGCACATGTACAAGACACATTTAATTCTATTTTCATTCCTTTCCCACCCCTCACTCCCGGCCTCCCTCTCTCCCTCAGTCCTCTTCCCTTTGCAAAAGATCTATCTCCTTGTTTCCTATTATCTTATACTGTGCTCTTTAATTTATTTTTATTTGGAGTTTCTCATATAAGAGAACTCATGCGATATTTAAGCTTGAATACTGGTAAAATAAGTATTTTAAAATATTTTTCTGAAGACACTGACTGTCACTAGAAATCACTTTATGAGATGCTCTCAAATTTCATTCAACTTTTTGTCTTGCATCTGAACAGACTGAGAAACAAATTATCCAAAGGGGCAAATGATTTACTGGTCACCAAGAGAAATGGAGCCGTTAAGACAATGATCTTGACATGGATTTATTTCAAGATCAGCGATCTGTGTGGCTTGTAGATTAGTGTGAGGTAGAGTGAGAGCATTCTCCTGCTTGTCAGACGGGAAGAGAAGTATAGTTAGTATGTCCAGTGTCAGATTTATTGGGTGAGGCAGTTGGGTGTGTGTCTGGGTCTGACTCTCTTCCGAGGTATTTGTCAGAATCACTAGCAACATAGTAACAATAAATCAACAGCCTTTGTGTCTTTGCCCCCTTGAGGGTCCTTTCTTACCTTCCTATGAGAGAGCAATCTATGGAACAACGTCCACATCCTGTGGTTTCCTTTGTCCCATACTTTGAAAGTTTACGAAGGTGCACATTTAAAATATATAATGTTCCAGCATTTGGGAAATCTTGGAAAGTTTGTTTTGCTGGCTGGTGACTGTGCAGTAATTAGACAGAGAGGATGCTCTTGTGTTTTTATTTTCCCCTGTGGAGGGCTTCCTAAAGTGTGACGATCAATACATATTTTTAATCATTTGTCTCTAAACTTGAAGACAGTGTGAGTATATGATTGTGCAGAGGTCAGCACTGAAGGCAGTTTCCAGGAAAGGTCAGTAGGAGCCATTTCTTTGAAATCGAGTTGTGCACATGTCTCTGCCATATGAAGATGAGACTCCTGACCTTCCCTTCAGTTCTGAGTGAGCTTCTCAGTCCATCGTTAGGGTTTATTGCTTGCTTGTTCCATCTTAGAATCAAAAGAGCCAAGAAGGGATAAAGCTTTCGGCGGCTCCCAGTGCACCGTAAGTTCCTCCCTGACCAGCTCCGCTGGTGGCCGGGTTCAAGGCCCAGGCAAGGGCCCTTTCCTGTGGGTGACGCAGCCTCCTCTACCCTCCCTTGTCCTTGTCCTAGGGGCCTTCATCCCCTGCGGTTCAGCGCAATCTAAAGTGAACAAGGCCTTCGAGTTCTCCGGCAGTTTCCCGTACCAGGAGGACCGTCAAGCCCTGACCACGCAGCTCTGTGCCAGCCACGCAGCTCCGTGCCAGCCTCGCCCCTCGGCCTCCGCACTGACCCGGGAAGGCTCCTGTGCTCCCATGGTGTTGCCCTTCCCACCCTTTCTCCACAGGCAGGTTCTTTCCCGCCCTGCCCTGCAGGGTCTTCCCTTGTCCTCCCTAGGAGCCTCCCGGGAAGCTCTCGGAGCCCATCTGCCGCCGCTGGCTCTGTGCGAGGCTCTGTTGTATCCGGCTGTTTGGTTCTTCAGGGGAGCTGTGTGTGAGGTCACCTTGCTGCTGTCCCCTCCTGAGGACATCACTCCACCCGCCAGCCAGGACTGCATTTCTGCTGGACTGTGTGCTGCAAGGCAGACTGTCCTGCATTGCTCTCTAACTTTGACTTACTCTTTTATTTGTTCTCTGTGGTGGCAGATTGACTTTTAGAACAACACTTGGTACACAGCAGGCAGAGGATGCAGGAAGACCCTGAGTTGGGCTCCAAATCCACAGATCCAGCCAGTCTCAGGCCAAAAAGTATTTTTAAAAATTGCTCTCTGATGAAACACATACTGACTCCTTTGTCATTATTCCCTGAACAATACGGCAGGACACTATTTACATTATGCTGGAATGATGATCTGAACCTGATTGGAAGTGTTAGGGCCACACACCGGCTACTTGTGTAGAACCCCAGCACCCGGGCATCCCGGTGTTCCTGGTCTGCAGGGCCCCTGGAACCAGGCCCCTGGGGTGCCAAATAGGACTGCACCTTTTCTTAATTGAATAGAGAGAAATGAATGAATTCCACCAGCAGATCTGAACTAAGGTTAAATATATGTGAAATTGAGTTTCACCTCTATTTCATATGTTACTCTAGCTATGCAATAGGGGAAAATTTTGTTAATATTCCAAGTTTCCATCCTTTATATCAAGAGTCAGCAGATTGTACTTTGTGGGTCAGATTTTGTCTGTGGGCCTCTGTTTATAATTAAATGCTGAGGGCTGACCAGACCCTCAGCTACCTTTTGGGGGGAACAATGAGGAATAAAAAGAAAGAGACAGACAATTTTCAAGGTATGGGGGAATGGAGAGGAGACCTGCCTCTGGCAGACAGACTCCGATCAAACTCCGAGTTGGTCCACTTTTATTAACCAGTGAGAGGTGCAGAGGGAGGGATAGCACAAGATCCACAGAGGAGCAACCACAGCAACTTCTCCGCAGGGGGAGGATGGTTGAGTTGGTGAGGAATCAGAGTTTCTTTACACCTGAGTGCCTGTGTATGGACAGCT